CTCTCCCATCTGCTTCCTCCCACTCAGTGGTTAGCATCTTCCAGCCGCCTCTGCCCTGGCTCTGCTTGGCTCTCTGTGCCCCAGGCTGCCCCCTTCTCACCCTCACCCCTCACCTCCTCCATCTGCACGCCTGTGAAGAGGTGAGAAGAACGCCACTAGGTGTCCCTGGTCAGCTTGCCTGCAGCCTCTTCCGGAACCCTGCCTCCCCATGGAATCCTCCGAGTGGTCCTCTAGGCTCCAGGGCCCCCAGTACCCCCCTTCACACACACCCCCACCCCACTGTGCCCCCAAGGCAGGCAGGGCTCTTCTCCTCTCCTTGGGGTCCAGCAGGCACACACTAGGTGCTTAGCCAGCACCCAGTATCTGGAGTTTGCCTTGATCCAGGGTCTGCTCACTGGCGCCTGGTGGGGGAGGCAGGCTGTTGGACGCTGGAGGACTTGGAGGGGACCTGGCTGGGGGCCTGGCCAGTGCAGAGCTCCATCCCTGGTCTGCTTCCCGGTGTCCCACTGCCCAGAAGAGTCCTGCCAGGGTTGCACTGCCCAGCAGCCCCGGACCGACTCAGGACAGCACAGGCCTCTCGACTGCCAAGTGCCTGCGAGAGGAAGGAAGGTCAGCAGCCTCTCCCAGCCTGATGCTAGAATCCCCACTACACGTGAAGGGCTGCTCAGCTCCGCTGGGATGCTGTAGTGACAGGGAACTCATGCCCTTTCAGAGGCCCCTTGGCCCTGTGTTATCTTGAGGGCAGGTCGGTCTCCTGCCACCCCCCTCTTCCCTGCTCCCCCTGGCCTGCAGCCACCCTGACCACAGGGCTGCAGATTCTGCCCCTCCAACCTGAGGTGCAGGCCCTCCCAGTCCTGCAGACCAGAATCCTGGGCCCCATCCCACCGTCTGGACCACCTGGCCCTTCCACACCCCCACCACACAGGTGGAAACCACAGGGCAGCTGCTGCCTGGGCACCATTTGCAGAGGCCTGGTCCAGGGCCACCGTCTGAGCCACTGGTGCCACTCAGTCCTCAGACCACCCTTCAAGAGGTTGGGGGATGTACCCCAGGCCACACAGCAAGGGCCAGAGGGGCAGGGTTGATTCTGGGGCAGCTTCCCAGGCCTGCACCAGAAGCGCCCGCTCTGCTGTCAGAACCTTGGAGGCTGTAATGCTTCCCAGCCCGGTGACCTGCGTTTTCATTCTGCACCAGCCGGGCAAAGCATGGGGCAGGGCTGCTTGTCAGGCTCCCGTGGGACCCGAGCCCTCCCTCACATCCCTCGCAGCACCTGCCCTGGTCGCAGCCTGGTGGGGGGCTGCCAGGCAAGGGCCGTGGAGCCGCAGTGGCCCCCAGAGATCCCCTGTGTGGCTCCACCCCCACCCCTGGGAACCAGGGAGCAGCCCGGGAGGAGCCCGTAATCACTCCGGCTCCTATAAACCCTTTAAAGGCAAAGAGTGAATGGAGAGGCCTGCCTGCCCTGGTGGAAGGCGTGACTCAGCTGCCACCCCTGCCTGTGCAGGCTGACCTTCCGCCGGGAAGCGCCCCCTTCGGCTCCTGGTCCTATTGGGGGAGGGGTCGGCCAAGAGGGCCCAGGAGGGAGGACAGGCCCCCAGGAAGGAGGACAGGCCCCCAGGAAGGAGGACAGGCCCCCAGGAAGGGAGGCTGGAGCGGCCTTCTCCCCTCACTGTCGAGCACCACGGGGTGCTGTGCTAGCACTTTCCGGGTGTTACTTAATCTAAGAAAAGTGTTATTCCCATTTCACAGAAGAGAAGACTGAGGCTCAGGGCATCTTTTCTACTGGTCGACAGCACAGGGGGAAGAGGGAAGGTCTTACCAGACACAGCCCCCAGGTGGCAGGGTGGGGGGTAAGGCCGCCCAGCAGGGCTGCGGAGGGTCTCCCCGGGAAGTCCCCCAGGGCGCGGGAGGAACGGGGTTGCCAGGCGAGCATCTGCCCCGCAAGCCCTGGAGCGGCTGTCCGGGCGCCTGGAAGGTGGGGGGGTCCGGGCTCCCCAGGCACCCGGCCCTGGGCCGGCCCCGCCGCGAGCGCTTCCCGGGGCTCCGGGCGGTGAGTCACCGCGGGCAGGGCCGTCCGCAGCGCATTCCTCCGCGGGGCGGGCGTCCGGGGCGGGGTGGGGCCCATGAAACACCCCACGGGCCAGGGAGCCGGGGCGTCGGGGAGCAGGAGGCGCGCGGGCTGCCGGCGCTGGGGAGGCGGGGGCTGCGGTCGGCAGGGGCGGGGCCGGGGGCGGGGGCTCGGGGGGCGCGCCCGGGCTGGGGCGGGGCGTGCGCGCGGGGCGGGGCCGCTATAAAGGCCGCGCCGGGCCGCCCGGGCGCATCGCCCGCGCCGCCGCCGCCCCGCTGCCATGAGGTCCCCCGGCGAGGTGCTCCGCGAGGGCGAGCTGGAGAAGCGCAGCGACAGCCTCTTCCAGCTGTGGAAGAAGAAGCGCGGCGTGCTCACCCCCGACCGCCTGCGCCTGTTCCCCGCCGGCCCGGGCGCGCGCCCCAAGGAGCTGCGCTTCCACTCCATCCTCAAGGTGGACTGCGTGGAGCGCACGGGCAAGTACGTCTACTTCACCATCGTCACCACCGACCGCAAGGAGATCGACTTCCGCTGCCCAGGCGAGAGCTGCTGGAACGCGGCCATCACGCTGGCGCTCATCGACTTCCAGAACCGCCGCGCCCTGCAGGACTTCCGCAGCCGCCAGGAGAGCGCCGGGCCCCCGGCTCAGCCCGCGCCGCCCGCGCCCGCCGCGCAGCCCGAGCCCCGGCTGGCCCGCGCGCCCTGAGCGCCGCCGCGGTGAGTGCCCGCCGCCCCCGCGCCCCCGCGCCCCCGCGGCCCTGGCGGCGTCGGGCGGGGCTCCAGCCGCGCGGCCTTGGGAAACACGGTGCCGACTTCAGACATCGTGGGGAGGTTCTGCCCCGTCTCGGGAACACTGTTGAGAGGGAACCGGGTGCCGCGCGATCGCGGCGTCCCAGGGGAGCTCGCCTGCCCCTCCCGCGTCGGAACCTTGGGGGACCCTGGGCTGGACACCGAGCGCCCGGCCACAGCTCCCTGACCCCCTCCTCTCCCCACAGGAGCCACACCACACGCAGGCCGAACCACGAGGCCGCGCCGTCAGGAGCCCAGTGGGTGCCTTGGACAGGGGTGGGCGGCCTGGACGGGCCGCCCCCCTCTGACCACGGCGAGGACAAAGGCCGGGGCTGTGTCCAGCCCCACAGAAGAGGACCTTCCTTCCCATCCAGAGCTGCGCAGCCGTGCCTGCTGTGCAGGCACGTTAAATTATCGGACTATCTATATTTATTTTCATGGTTATTTGTCGTCAAACAGTCTGTCTTAATATTTTGTTTTTGCATCAGTGTGACCATTCCAAATAAACCACTTGACCATTTCTCTTTCCTACTAGCTTGGTGTGGTGCTCTGGGACTCCTACGGGAGGGTTGTGGGCCCCTCAGGGGAGGGTGGGGTCCCCCCCACCCCCAGCCATCTGAAGGGCAAGAAAGGTGCTTTGAATGGACACACCGTCATTTGCTGAGCCATGTTCCCATCCCTTCGAAGCAGCCTCTCCTGGGGCCAGGAAGCGCCCTGGGCTTTGGCCCCGGCGACTTCCGCCCCTGGGTGTGGCCGGGGAGGACAGGCCTGTGCTTGCTCAGGGAGGTCACTCTAAAATGCCCCACTAGCGCCAGTGCTCCCCCCCCATGAGAGCGGCTCCTGCAAGCCGTGGGGAGGCCCAAGCCCCGCTGCTGCCTCCTACCCACAGGCCACCCGTCCAGCAGCCCCCTGCCCGGCCTGTAGGAGCCCGCAGAAGCCATAGGAGCCCTCAGCCCTCTGGCGCCTGCCCACCGCGCCCCCTTGATCCCATCCTGGGCAGGCTGATGGCAGCTCCAGGCAGTCCAGCTGCCAGCCAGCACCCACGGTGTTGGGCCAGCAAGGTGGGCGGCAGGGAGTCCCTCCTTGGGGAGGACCTGTTGGTGAGGAACTGGCAGAGGACTGGAGAGCTGGGCAGGACGCTCACCGTGACCCTCGTGAGGGGGCCTTTGTTTCACGGGCCTTTCTGGCTGCAGGAGTACCTGGTGGGGAGGACAGAGGCCAGCGGAGTGAGGGACTAAAATTGGGCCCTAGTGTCCGTCATGTACTCTTGACTTGTTGGTGGGGGGCATCAAAGCCTCCCAGCTGGTTCCAGGGTGCAGACCGGCCCTGGGCTGTCCATTTGCTGGGAGGTCACAGGGAGCCATCTCCTGTGAAGAATGTTCTGAGCAACACTGAACGTGACACCCCACCCCCAGGGCCAGTGCTGGCCCCGGGATGGGGCCCCATCTTGCCTCTCCTTAGAGACCCCTCAGCCGGACGGACGACCACAGTCAGGAGGTGAAACCCCGAACCTCAGTGGGGCTCCAGGGGAAGCAAGGGCTGGTGGCTTTCTGAGGTTCCTTCCAGTTGGGGCTGTTGGGACTCTGAGGTTGGGGGTTTGGAGGTTTAATAGCTTCTTTTAAAGGCAGCCCTAGGGGCAGTGGTGGCCTGCAGGTCTCGGGTGTCTGCAGGCTCCGAGGCCCTTCCCTCCATGCTGGCACTGGGGCTCAGAGACGCTGGCCCCCAGGAGCAGGGAGGCCATGGGCAGGAGGGCGCTGCTCCCCGGCCGGTCCCCAGGCCTTGCTGCCTGTTGAGGGTCCCCACTGGCCCCGCCGCACGCACGCACGGAGGGAGGAGGGCTGTTTTCCCAGCTCTTCTCCCAAGGCGCTGGTCAGTGTTGAGATGGCGGGTGGCAAGGGGTAGGAGGGAGCTCTGTGCAGGTGTGAGCAGAGCCATCTGAGCGGGGGCAGGGTGGGCTCCTCACTGGCCAAGGCGATGGGCTCCAGAGGGCTGGGCCCACCTCGCACGGGGATGACCTTGGGGGGTTCTGCCGCGCAGTAGCCCTGGGGCCAGGCCCCCTCCTCCAGGAGGCCTTCCAGCATCTGAGGCCCCATCCGTTCCCCTCAAGCCACCTGTCCAACCCGCAGAAGCTTGTAGAAATCAGACGGGAAGAGGTCCTCAGGAAGTTTACTGCGGGGGCGGGGGCGGGGGCCGGAGACCAAGGTCAGTGGTCTTTGTTCTTCCTGGGCACGGGCCACTTCCAGAGGACTAGGAGGGTGAGGAAGTTGACGGCGAGCTGCACATGGCCGAAGATGGGGACGCCGAAGTTGTGGTACAGGAAGCCGCCCAGGGTGGGGCCCAGGGTCTGAGTTAGCGGCTGCACAGAAGCACAGAGGCCCAGCATGGTCCCTGGGGGCGGGGGTGGGGTGAGCAGTCAGGCCCGGGCCACTCGGCTACCAGGCCTGGCCCCCTGATTCCTGGACACAGCGGAGGCCTCCCCTGGTCCCTCTGGACCCCCGGCACCCTCTATCCCTGCCTGTGGGTCTGCTCCCTGAGGCCCACCCGGCCACACAGGGAACACGCTGTGGCCACACTGCACGCTTCCACTGTGGGGCTGAGCTCCCACCCTGCCCAGGCAGGGGAGGAGACTGGGAATGGCGTCACAGACCTCGGAGCAGACCCACCCCCCAGGACTGCCAAGGAGATGGCATCCTAGCCAGCCAGGAACTGCGGAGGGGGCCTTGAGGAAGACCTGAGCCACCTGGCAGGGCTGGGGCTGTGCTGCAGGGTGGGCAGGGACAGCCCGTATGTCGCCCCCCTCCCCACTGCCCTCATATGGAGGGGGAATGCCCCTACAGGGCTGGGAGGGGCTTCAGGGGCACACAAAGAGCTCTACCAAGCTCTGCTAGCTGCCTGTGCCTTGGCACCTGACACCCTATCTTACATCCCTCTTGTCAGCTGTGCCCTGTGTGGGCAAACGTGTGTGGCTACCGTCCACACTCCCATCTGCCTAGAGGGTCCCCAGCTCTGGGCTTTAAAGCCCACATCGGAAAGTCCCAGCCAGTCGTCAGCTGGGAGCAGCCTGGCAAGGCCCCGCCTGCGCTCAGGGCCCGCGTTGGGGAAATTTAAGAGCAGCTTCTCCCATCGCCCACACACCCTGCAGACACCAGGAAGCGATTACCGCCCCCTCTGTGGTCCCTGGTTCCCAGGCTGCTGCTGGGAACCAGCTCCTGGCACTGCCACACTGAGGGACGGCGTCTTGGGTCTGCCCACCCTTCTCTGCCAGGCCCTGCCCTCATCTCTCCCACCTTGTGGCCTGCTCCTCCCCATGGCCTCTCCAAAGTGCTGGCCTGCTGCCTCTAGGAAGCCCTCCAGACCCGGCGTCGCCTCTCAGGACCACAGAGACACAGATCTGGAAGGACTTATGGGCCCCCAAGGAGGACATAAGAGACCTTGCCCATCCACAGTCCATTCCCACCTGGGACTCTGTACCTCCCTCTGCCCCTCCAGACAGGGGGACGGGCCGAGGGCCAGCCAGGCACCCGAGCTCTCCCGCCCAGCTGCTGGGGAGGTCTTCGGCCTCAGCCAGCCCACCGGAGCCCCTGAGCTCCACCTGCACCATGCCTGGGACAGGGCGGGGCCGGAGCCTGGGTTCCACTGGGCCCAGGGATCCCCGGTCTGGATGGGAGACTCCTAGGCCTCAAGAAAGCAAGCTGGGTGCAGGGTCAGGCGGGGCCCATGTCTGGGGGAACCAGGGGTGTCCTGGATTGAGCAGCTGAGTGCATTCACTCCCCGTCAGGAAGCGCCCGCACACTCCCGTGCCGCCCTGTCTGGGAGGGCACAGGGGCCCGCTCCCGCCTCCCAGCCTGGTGGGCGAGGCCTCCCTGCTCTGAGCACCCCTTTCTGGCTTTCCCAACCATTCTCCACCCTGCTAGGCTAGCTTCCCAAGTGGCCTCTACGGGAGCCTTTTAGATCCACACCTCCACATTTTTGGTCAGTGGGGGTGCAGCCTGGGGTACCATCGCTCCCTCCTCCTTTCTAGTGAAATCCTGCCCACGATTGAGAGCCAAGCCAGACACCACCTCCAGGAAGCCCTCCTCCCATCCCCCAGGCCTGGTCCTGGACTGGCCAGCAGACCAGGGCTGGCTGGGCCCAGCTGGACTGAGTGGTGGCCAAATTTTCACAGAGCTCACCCACCCAGACCCCAGGCCACCCACCCCACTCAACACCCACCAGGGGTGTGCAGACCCGCCCCCAAATCAGGGCCATTGCTCTGCCAAAGCTGCTTGGCGAGCTTCCCAGAGAGGAGGGCTGGGGCCTCCCCAGGGTGCTGTGCTCACCCGTGTCCGAGGCCGAGACGGCCTTGGTCAACATGCTGTCGGTAACCACGTTGAGGGCACACAGGCTGAAGACCAGGCCGGGCATCAGGAGGCAGAAGTGGAAGACGCTGGACATCAGTGCCTAGGGCAGGGTGGGGGCATGGTGACTGGGTGCTGCCTGGGGCCAGGGCAGCCAGCCCCAGCCCTGAGGTCCCTGGGAGGGCGTGGGAGTGCGGGGGCGCCTAGGAATCAAGCACAAACAGGCACACATGCAGAGGTTGGGGGCTTGGACCAGGGGCCCCGCCCTCTGTGGGGGGCAGGCCGAGGGGGTGCTCACCATGGCCAGTCCCACCATGCTGAAGGCCAGCACGCTGGCCCGGAGCAGCGCTCCCTCTGAGAAGTGGCTGCTCAGCCGCCCGATGACCAGGCCTTGGACGACCTAGGGGAGGGGGTGCTGGAGGAAGCCTGGCTGCAGCCGGCCCCCACCGCTGGGGAAGCTCCCTCTCCGTCCACAGCCCTGGGGGCCCTGCCCAGCCCCCAGCCACACCGGGTCCGGGGCAGGAGGGTGGGCCTCGGGGAGCTGGCGGCCGCCTGGGTGCCTCACGCGCATGGCCAGCCCTCACAGGTCTGGTTCTCAAGTTCAAAACTAGCCTGGCTCTCTAGTTTCAAGTGGGAGAAACACATTCTTATTAAACAAGGGCGACTAACTGCTGATGGGGGTGGGGGAGGCGAGGACTGATGGTGCAGAGGGCACCTTGGAGAACCGGGGACACTCCCAGTGAGGTCTTGGCTCCAAGCCCAGGGCCCCTGTGGCCTGCAGAGCCCCTCCAGGGTCACCGGCCTGATGGGCCGCTTCCTGCCACCCACTCTGGTCTGGGAGGCAGATCTGCCCCTTTCACAGATGGGGAGACAGGGTGCAGGCAGGGTGTGCCAGGTGGGACCCGTGCCCATGCCCTGGTGCCTGTGTTGGTCCTCTGCCCAGCTGGGCCTCAACTACTTCCTGTCAGGGCCATCCTTGAGGCGGGGGCTAGAGCCCTTGCCATACCCTAGGCCACCAGCCCAGTTACAACTGGGTAAACCGAGGCCCAGAGGGCTGACACCACTTGCCGAACATCCCAGAGCTGGCCAGTGGTGGAGCTGGGGTGGTGGAGGGCAGGCCCTGGCACCCACCACTGGCGGCCTGCTGCTCTCTAAAGGTGGGCTGCCCGCTGTTACCCCGTTACCACTCAGCCTTCCTCGCCCTGTCCGGGGCGCAGCCAAGCAGCAAGGAGTCCGACTGAGGCTAAGGTGCCTGCCTAGAGCCCCCCTTCTGGTCCCTGGCTCCTCTCCGTGAGGGCGGGACACCAAGGACGTGACTCGGCGGGCAGGCCTGGCTCTCAGGCCACCCCGGCCGTGCCGTCTCGCCTCCTCCCCTGGACAGGCAGGAAGTGCCCGGGGCACGGCCGGCTTGTAGCGGAGCCCGCTGGAGCTGGGGGACGGCTGGGGGACAGCTGGGGTCAGCACTTAGGCCAGGCTGCGTGGCCCCCGGGGGCCAGCCTCGGAGGATGGGAACACCTGCTCGCTTCCTGTCTGCCCGGCACTACAGAACTGTTTCCAAGCAGAGCCATGAATTTGAAAAAACAGAACGCAACTTTCGGACTTGGCTTTGTGTTCGTTTTGTTTGTCCGTCGTGTTTTTAGGAAGATCTATTTGGTGAGTTTTTTTTAGTGCAGGCCCCCTCGCCAAGGACAGGGTGGTCTCGCCCCCACGTTTCATGCAGACCCCACGACAAAGCCCTCAGTCCTGGAATTGTCTCTCGATTTTCCCATTCCCTTAAAACAAGCCTAAACCCTCCTGCCTGACAGGTTATCACACCAAACCAGTTAACAAGCACGCCGCGTTTCACTCTCCTCAGCCCTCCATTCAGAGAGCCTGTCTGCTCACCCTCTCTGTGCCCACCACCCTGTCCCTGGCAGAGCCCCCACCGCCTCCCGCGGTGCCCTCATGGGCTGCTGGCCGCCTGAAGCCCCAGGTTCCGTCCCCTCTCTAACAGCAGCTGGAGCTGGGGGCCTGCTAAGGCCATGTCCAGCCTCGTTGCAGAACCTTCCTGCTCCGAGGAAAATGCGTCCTTCCTGGCCCTGCACGCTGTCCCATCCCTGCCTCAGTGCCTGTCCTCTGCCCTGTGGCTGGCACAGCCCCTGCCACATCCACGCCCTCTCTTTCCTTGGAGGTGCCGCTCAGCGTGCCCCAGGGTGGGTAGGTGCTGGGGCTCCTCTGTCTCCCCCAGTATGATGGAAGCCCCACCCCTGCCCTGGCACTGTGCCAGCTCTCCTGAGGGACGGAGGTCCGAGAACCCACTGAGCAGCTGACCGCCAGCCCCTCACGTTGGTTAGAACCATCTGGTCGCCACCCCCCGGCAGGCCCCAACCCCAATGACCCCCGGCACCCAAGAGTGTGTGGGGGGGTGATGCTGTGGCTCCCTTGGGAAGGGGCTGTGCCCCTGTCCTGTGGTGGGACAGGGTGGTTGGCAGGGAAGGAACACGAGCAAGCCCTGCAGGGGGGCCATCGCTCTGGACCCTTGGTGACCGGCTCTTCCCTGGGTGGGGGTGCAGGGAGCCTGGTGCAGGTGGCTTCAGGCCTCTCTCTGCAGACACGAAACCCAGCCTCCAAGCCCCAGCCCTCAGCCGCAGAGGTCCCAGACTCAGCTCAGGGCCTCAGCTGCCCCCACCCCCAGGCAGGACTTAGGGCCCAGGTGTCTGGCACATCGTCGCCCCTGCGGGGCCACTCCCTGCATCCCCAGCCCTCGCCCAGGCCTCCTTTCCCACCCCTCTGCTGCTGTTCAAGGGCCAGCTTCCCCCAGGCATCCGTCACCACCTGCAGGGGTGCTGGACCCCCAGGCCCATCCTGGGCCCTGGCAGGCCTACACAGCCCCAGCTAAGCCAGAGGCTGCCGGTGTCCGTCCCTGGGGACCTCAGGGTCCTGCCAGTTTCCACTGGGGTACAGGCTTGGTCTCCTGGACCTGGCGAGTCTGGGACAGAGCAGGCTGGTGCCCTGGCCTTGGGCAACCTGAGTGGCCACTCAGGACCGAGCTCTGGCAGCCCCTGACTTTGGGGTAGTGTTGTTATTATTATTATCATGATTTCTGTTCATCTCTTTCATCCCCTCTGATGGCCCTTACTGGTCACGGAGCTGAGGCCCTGTGCCCACACGGGAACGGGGGCCGGCCCCTCCCAGGAGCAGCTATTTTAGCGCCAGGGTGAGACCAGGCCTGGCCCCACAAGCAGACGGAGCAGGTGGCCTGGAGGCCAAACACTTCCGGGGAGGCCGTGAGCTCCCGCCTCCGCGCGGGCGGGTCCCGGAATAGCCCCTCCAGTGCTCCGGCTGTCGGGCAGATGTCCTGGGTGGCGACGGCACGTCGCCACCTGTCCCACCACCCTAGGGTCTGGTCCAGATGCCCAGGAGGAGCTGGGGGGCAGCTGGGCTTGGGCAGGGCTCACCCTGGGCCTGAACCGAGGGGGCCTCGGGGCTGGCAGACCCCACCTCAAACTGCTTCTAGATAACTGCGGACATGGAGATGCCAGTCTCAGGGCATCCCCCAGACAAGCGGGTGGGCAGACAGGACTTGGGCACATGGGTACCCCCTCCATGCGTGGGCAGAGGAAGCAGGGGTGCAGGACAGGGTCCATCACACCTGGAGACCCCCGTGCGCCTGGCCCCCACTCACCATCTGGAGGACCCCGAAGAAGGACATGAGGTAGCCAGCCTGGGCGGCCTGCAGCTGGAAGAAGCCCACAGAGATGATGGGGAACATGGCCATGAAGAGCCCTGGGGAAGGCGGGGGGTCAGGGCTGCCGCAGCCGTTCCTGCACTCCGGCCCCAGTGCCCACCCTCCCTCTTGTCAACTGAGGGACAGGGCTGCTCTGGCCGGCCAGGGTGCCGTGGGCCCCGGCCACAAGCCCTGGCCATGGTGACCAGGTCAGCACGGGCACCAGCTGGAGCGAGAGCCTTCTGTGCCCCTTTGCCTTACCCTCGGCACAGGACAGCCCCCAGGGAGCTGCTGTAGACTCTGACCAGCAGGGTGCCAGACACTGTCCCATGGACAGGGTGACCAGAGCTCAGGGCGCCCTGGAGAAGGGCAGCTGGCAGAGGGAGGGACCCAGCGTGGAGAATCTGGTGCCAGACCCACTGGTCAGCCCCAAAGGCCCCAAAGCACCAGCCTGGATTGGAAACAGCTGGTGAGGGCCTGGCTCTGCAGCCCCCGGCCTCAGCCTGCGACCTCAAGGCCCTGGGAACGTCACAGAGCTTTTCAAGGGTGGAGAACTTTGTGCTGGGAGAGGGTGGCCCTTTAGCAGCCACGTGGAAGTGTCTGCCTCGCTCAGCTCCCTGTTGAGAGACCCCAGCCAGGGGCTCTGGCAGGTGCCTGGTGGGCACAGCTGTGCTGTGATACCCGCAGGGGAGGGCTGGGCTCTCCGCCCCTTCACCACGTGGCCAGGACTCAGGAGTCAGCAAAACACGCATGCTCACCTTCAGGGCCACCGTCTCCTTTGTGACGGGCTGTGGCACAGGAAAAGCCCAGAGCAGGGGACACAGGGCAGCGGGAGAGGGATGTCCTGACGGCAGACCCTCACCCCACGGCCCCAATTCTCAGCTGTGCCGGGCTCTGGGCCCCCAGCTAGGTGGTCCGGGACTCACCGGACGGGAGGCCGGAGACCACCTTGATGAGGAACACGGGCAGGACGCCTGGCTGCAGCAGCACGTGGGCGATGGCCTTCAGGTCAAACACGCTGGCCTTGGGGCTGCCTGGCGCACCCGCAGAGGCCTGTCAGACCGCCGGATGGCCCCTGCCTCTGTGCTGTGCCCCAGCTTCAGTGCAGCAGGGGCCGGGCCCGTGGGCTTCCCTGCTCCCCGGTCCTGCCCAAGGGAGCAAGGTCCCTCTGGTGCCCAGTGTCCCACACCCACCACATCCTGGGTGCCTGAGCTCCGGGCAGATTCTCCTCCGGGCTTGGGCACCTGCTCCAGGAGCCCTCTCCACCGCCCGCCCCCCTGGCAGGCACCAGGCAGCTAGTCATAGTCCTGACTGGGTGCTTGGGTCCCTCGGACCCTGGGGACCCCCAAATTCTAGGAGGCACTCCTGCATCTCGGCCTCTCCTCCTCTGTCCCTTCCAAGTCTGGGTCCCCAGCCCACCCTTCCTCTGGCCCTTTCCCGGACACACGGGCACAGCCACAGCTCAGGGGCCTCCTCTCCCAGGATGGATGGGGGGCTCAAGGAAGGATGGAAAGAGGGCATCCCCTCCATGCCCAGGGCACCCACTGCCTGGAGCACCCTGGATGCTTGGGCATGCTGTGGTTTTGGCAGGTGCCCCTGGAGGGATGCCCAGGGGAGGGGCCTGGCCTGAGGTTCCAGGTGCTGCTGGTGGGAGGCGAGAGCTCATGCTCACATGGGCCCAGCACCCGGGCGCTGTGTGCCTGGCGGGTTTACCTAGTGGGCTTACCTGGAAGGGCAGCCTGGGGGTGCTCACAGGCCCCTTTGGTGCTGGCCGGGATGCAGGTGAAGCTGAGGCCGGCTCCCAAGAGGTTGCCCCCAAGAGCCACAATGGCTGGACACTGAATCCTGGGGGAGACAGTTGTGGTCATACAGGGCCCAGGGCAGAAGCTCCACCTGGCCCACCCCCTGCTCGCCCCTCAGTCACCCTGAGGCCCCAGCGACTGAGCCCTGCTCAAGCCCAGCCACCCACAGCCCCATGGCTGCGACCCAAGGATGGGGACTGGGATCCTTGGGGCATGTTCATCAGGTGACAGAGAAGGAACAGAAGGCGCTCTCCCCATCCCTTTCCCTCACACTGCGGCCACAGCCCTCAGCACAGGGTGGCTGAGAAAGCGCCTGATCCTCTCCGTGGCGTGGGTCCGTAGTGGCGGCTGTGTGGGATGGTGGGACCAGCACCCGCTGCAGATGCGCCAGCGGTGAGGCTGTGGGCTGGGCAGACAAGGGCCGGGTCTGAGACCCTGGGACCCCCACCAGCCCCATCTGTGCCCTGGGGACTGACGTGCCCCTCCCTGCAGGGTGAGGAGGGGACTGCACCCGGTGGGGCTCCCTTCTGAGGGGTGGTGCATACTGGGCTTCAGTGGGGATGGCCCTGAAAGGCCCAGGCCTGCCCAGACCAACATCAAGTCCACAGCTTCCAGCTCAAGGTGGGCCCTGTTGCTTGGGATCATGGGCGCTGGAGGCTGGCTGTTCTGTCACCATTTCCCCCTGAGGGTGGCCAAGCCCCCTCCTTGGGGGTGAGAGTGACAGGGGCAGACAGGAGCTTCTTACTAAGCTAGGCTGCCACACAGATAAATGTCCCCCAACCCTTGGCAGCTGAGGGAACTCCTATACATCCTGCAAGGGCCCTTCTCTGAAAGCCCCATGGCCCCTCTCCTGGAAAGGGCATGTTCTATCAGACAGCCAGTATCCAGCTCTTGAGGGCAGGTGGACCTAAGGGGACCCTGTGCCCAGACCCCACTGAGCACCAGACCGTGGGACAGCTATGTAAGCTGTTCAACGAACAACTGCAGCCCTGTCCCAGACCTGCCCCGCTTAGGGCCTCAGGGCTTGGACACTGGTGGGGTCCAGTGTCCCTGGGGTCTGCATCTCCACACAAGGCCAGCCACAAGCTGCCTGTGGCCCCCCACAGAGTTCAAAGAAAGGGCCTTCCCCACTCTCCCCGCCATGCTGCATATATGCACACACACAGGGACACACACATGCACATGCACATGAACACACGGGGCACACATGTGCACGTACATGCACATGCAGAGCTCCTGGAGGGCAGCCGCAAGCGGGAAAGGCCCCCACCCCAAGGGGACCGGGGAAGCTGGGGACTCGGCCACCCCCCGTGTCTTGGGGCTGGGACCTGCCTGGGCTCACACGGCGGGTGTGGTGGAGCTGGCATTTGTCCAGCTGGAACGTGCCACTGACCGCTCCCTCACCCCACTGGCCCATCTCTGGGTCTCCTGCCAAGGCCCACTGCCTAGGATGCTGGACGCTGGGCTGCCTGACTGCCAGGGTTCCGAACGCACTGGCCTTTCCATTGCCAGGCAGAGAGACAGAAGCCCCTGCTCCTAACCCAGGGGAGGGACGACGCTGGGTGCAGACCCTGGAGCCCCGTCTCTGGCTGGCAGGAGCAGCTCTGTGACTCGAGCAGGGACTCCCGGCCCTGGAGGCTGGCTCCAGAGAGAACGGCCCTTTCTTTAGGATTCTGGCCTGAGGCTCGTGCGTCACTGCTCGGGGCCTGGCCAGGCAGGGACAAAACCCGCTTTCTTTGCCAGATGCCCCGGAAACTCAAGGGAGCAGAGGCGGCCACGCAGATGCTATTTTGGGAAGGTAGTGACAAGTGAGGGGTGGGTGGCAGGGAGCCAGGCCTCTTCTCCTGGGATCTCGCCTGTCCCTTCCGTGGTGGCCAGCAAACCAAAGGCACAGGGGGACCCTCGGGGCGCCAGAGGGAGGGGGGCCGCAGCTTCCTCGCTCAGAGCCCCCTCCACTCCGCCTGGACAAGACGCCGGAGAGGAGGGCAGAATGGAACGGGGTGGTGGTGGGGGAAGGCGCAAGGCCGCTTCAGGCTGGGATGCCCTGCGGCCTCATGCCTCCAGGACACCCCCAGGGCAGGGGGAAGGCCAGCTGCCCCAGATCACACGATGGGGCTCTGGGGCCTCATCCCGATTTCAGTGACTAATGGGACCTTTTTGACAAAGTGAGTTCGACTGTGAGGGCGGACGCGTGTGGTGTCTCGGCCCACCTGATCTTGGTTTTGGTTGAAAGGATGGATGCCATGGAAGGGCTCTGGGGGGCTCCGGACCCCTGCGTTCTCTGCCCTGTGCCATGGCTCTCTTGCTGGGTCACCTCCTTTCCTCGGATCGAGTGAGAGCTGGACTCACAGATGCCGCCTCCCGGGACACCCTGTCCCCACCCGACTGCTGTACCCCTCCCTGGAGTTGCTTGGCTGCCCTGGAGCCCAGCCTGCAGGCCACAGCAGTGCCTGCAAATGCCGCCTTTCATCCTGATCTCGGAGACCTGGAGTCTGGTCCCCAGACGTTATCAGGAGGGTGTGGCCCCTGGCCACCTGCCCGCCCTGTGTGGACTCTGTGCTTCTGTGCTTTCTGTCGGGTCCTCTGAAGCTCCTAGAGTGGATGGTACGTCACTGGCCAAAGCCCCCTGGCCTGGCTGCACATGGGGCTCAAGGCCTCCTAGGCTGGGCTCCCCTCTCCTATCCTGGAAGGCAGGTGGGGTCTGCCGGGACCCAGCTTCACAGGGTGCCTGCCCGTGAGAGGCTCAAGAGTTATGGGGTATCCAGCCTGGGCTTCCCCTGGAGAAGTCACCCTGTCTGATCGACACCCCACGACACTGGGAGTGGTCCCAGTGTCATGGGGCCACTCCCAGTTCAGCCTCCCTCCAGCTTCTGGGTTTTAGAAAAAGGCCTAAAGCCATGTCTGGTCTAACCCTTTGCTGACCTCTGTTCCCTGGAGCACCTTATCCCTCCACTCTTGGCCACACAGGTCTCCAAGCAAGCCCCAAGCTCCATCCGGGGTCTGTGCATGGGCTTTCCCTCTGTCCAGAACAGTCTAGCCACGTCCCATCTCCAACAGCCGACTCCTCATCTTTCAGGTCCCATCTAAGGTCCCAACCCCATTACTTAGGGCCACGTGTGCCCTGTGTGTGCAATTCCTAGTGTCTGGAATGCCCGGTTTCTTTCTGCAGGGTCTGTGCATGACCCCCACCCTGGAGGGGGCCTGGCCGGCCCCGCACAACTTCACAAGACACAAGTGGGTCAGCCAGGTGGCCTGCTGCCTCTCCCATGAGTCACTCCTGTCCCAGAGCCATTCAGGGCAGCCCTGAATGTCTCGTCATTGACTTCCAGGGGAAGCTGTCCTGTTCCTGGAGGCGGAGAGCTTCTGCGAGTAGGCCAAGGGCTGCCCACTCCTTGGCCCAGACTGAAGGGCTGGAGTACTGGCCCAAGTCCCCACATTGCCAGGCCTCCAGATAAGGAACATAGCAAATACCTGCTGAGTCCCTGAGGACCCACTGAGGTCCCAGAGGAGGGTGGCTCACTGCCACGTGGTACCCAGGGCTGACATAGACCCAGCTCTGCCTGACCTCTTAAGGTCTGTGGCTGGATGCCCACCAAGCCTCCTGCTCAAATCCCCCCAGTTCTCAACAAGCTGCCACCTGAATCCCGACCACTTCCAGGGGGACAGCACCCTTGGGTCCTGGACTGGGGACCCAGCTGTGCCTGTGACTCACCGTGTGGGGCAGCCCCTCAGCACTCAGAGGAGAGGGGGTCTGCCAGAGACCCCCACGCCGAGTCCAGCAGTCAGGCCTGGGGCTTGCTGGTTGCCACTGTCAGCAGCAAGTGACAGATGGGACCCCTTCTCAAGTCCCTGGACCCCACCCCTGGGACCTGACTCAGGTGGGCTCTGCAGGCCCCCCGCCAAGCCGCATGGCCGTTTGCGGGGAGGATGTGATAGAGGTGTCCCCAGGCTGAGAGGCGCTAGGCTCAGGGACGTGACTCACAGAGCTTCCCCCACCTGCTCAGTGACTCAGGGCCCTGGCCTGGGCCCCCGTGGGAGCCAGACCTCCCAGCCCTGGGCTCCAGGCCGGGCCCAAACCAGTTATTCCAGCCAAGGCCACTTCCTACCGTCACCTGCTCCCCAGGTGGCAGAGTGGGGGGTGGGGAGGGGCATGGCTGGGGCCTTTTGGGGGATGGGTCCTTAGGGGTGGCGGGAGCAGGGAGGCAGTGACCAGGGAGACCTCACATCATCAGGCCTCCATTCCCATCAGGGAAGGGGAGGGAAGGAGGGGATGTGGCGCTCAGGCCTCCCCTGGCCCTTGCCACGGGCAGACCAGGGTCCCAGAGTGCGGCCTATGCCTCGGCATCAGGCTCCTGGACCCACTGTGCCTGCGTCTGGCAGCCTGGATCTTGCACAGGGCCTGGGAGCTCCCTGGGGGACCCTCACCCTCTCTGGGGTCACAGTTTCCCCACCCATCAAAGGAAATGTGAGGGTTATAGAGCACCTTAGATCTTGGGATGAAAAAAGGCAGGGAAGCTAATGGAATGTTCTGGAAGGCGAGGGCAGGAGTGGAGGTGACTTTGGGGCTGCTGGAGGGAGGGGGAAGTGAATGGTGTCTTCTGGGTCAGTAGCTGGGAAGGAAAAAAACAGAGAGGTGGTGGAATGGGCTGGTGAGGGAGGCTGGCATGCATGTGCGTGTGTGTGCGCCCTGGACACAGGGCTGGGAGGGCTGATGGGCCCATCTCATGGGTGAATGTACCTGCGGAGGAGAGGACAGGTACTCATGGCCCGAGCAGCAGGTGGCCAGGCTGAGTCCAGGAGGGTGGGGGAGCATGGGGGCCCCTCCTGGCCCAGCTCCCGGGCCAGCCCCCTCCAACACCCCCTGCCCCCTCCTCACTTGCAGCCCCTGGTCCTCTCTCTGCTCTCCCTGGGACTAAGAGGCCCTCTTTCTCATGACCTTGACCCATCCAGGAAGCCAGGCTCCGCCCCCACTCAGCACGAGGGAGGCAGCTCCCCGAGGGCAGAATCTGCAGTCACGAGGCCCCATGGGCCCGGTGGGCCCTCCCACCTGCAGATGCCTGTACCCAGACACGTGCTCCACAGCTCTCCCGGGCACCTGATGGGAGCCAGACTTGGCCCCCCGATGACCCAGCTCTCGCCGGTGCCTGGCTGCTCCGATCTCAGCAAGGCTGTGGCCCCCGGGGAAGCCCCCCAGTGGGGGAACGGCCTTGAGTTCACATTCACATCCCATGGCAGTCAAGCCGGGACCTGCTCTCTGTTCGCCCCCAAGGCCGCCCCTGGCCTGCCCACCGTCCTGTCCTCTCCCGCCTGGACTGGTCTCCCTGCAGCAACCTCGCCCCCACAGTCTACATGCAGCCGCTGGGTCACACCTTCCCAGCCCATGCCCACCCCCCCGCCTCTGTCTCCTCTCTGCTCCCTGCCCCTCACCCCCTCTCTCAGGACCTTTGTACTTGCTGGCCCAGGGCAGCTGTCGGGCCTCCTCTAGGTCCAGTCTGACTTCCGTCTGGCCTTGCCATGTGCGGTCATCCTCCCGCCTGAGACAGTCCAGGGATGCACACAAAGCGGGGTGGGGGCACCACTGGGCGATGGTGCCCCCTGCTGCCCTCTCCCAGCCCACCGCGCCCCCTGCTGCCTGCTCCCAGCCCACCACACCCACAGCACCCCGTGCTGCCTGCCCTCGCCCACCCAGCAGACGGCGCCCCCTGCCCCTGCCTGTCCCGGGGCAGGTCCGTGGCCAGTCACTCACCCACACTCCTCGGTCAGGGTCCCGCCGAGCAGGGAGCCGAGGATGGCACCGACACCTAAGCACAGGCCCAGCCGTGCAAGGGCCGCGGGCCGATCTTTGGGCGCAGACAGGTCCGCGATGACCATCTGGGCAGCTGGGGTGGGCAGGGGCTGAGCGTCACAAACCTCCACTGACCCCGGTACAGCCCAGGCTCACTCCCACATCACCTCTCTCTCCCGACCTGCCCCAGGCCACAACCCAACATCCCCGCCGCCCCCAACCCTGTCCTGCTCTTAGGCCTAGACTAGCACCTTGGGGGGAGCCTCCCTCCCACCCTCTGGCTCAGGCCACGCCCCACATCCATCCCCTTCCCCCAGTCCAGCCCACAGTCTAGGCTACCCTGATGGGCCCACCCACCCACCCATAGGCCTCCCAAAGCTGGAGGGCACGCCAGAGGGCATGCTACCTGGCCCTACCTGGCAACGTGTGCATGAGTACAGCAGGCAGGCGTGAGGCCCAAAAGAAGGCCATGCCGGGCAGGGCTGGGCTGCAGGCGGCCGCCAGGAGCAGGTAGAACGCAGAGGACCCCAGGAAGGAAAGTGTGAATGCTACCCTAGCCCCATGCTGGTCTGCGAACCTAGGAAACCCCAGAAGTGTGACCCTCACAGACACCAGGCAGGTCCCCATCTTCCGCCCGCATGACACCCCCTGGGGCTGCCAGGAAGCTGGGAGGGTGGGCGGAGGGCCTGGGCAGGCCTCCCTCCTCAGGGCCAGCTTTCAGTGACCTGGGGGTACTGACCCCAACAGGCATTGCCACCCACGATGCGAGTAACCTGTGGGATCCAGATGGACCTAGAGGAAGAGGGTGTTTCACAGGAAGCGTCTCCCCAGCGCAGGGCCCCGCTCCAGCTGCGCTCTGGCCAGCGCCCTGGGGCTCTCTCAGGGCCCTTACTCGGGCAGACTTGGGGCTTCCAGAGTCCCCCTTCCGCAGTTACTCTAAAGATCCCGCCGCCTTGACCTGTCCTCTGCAGGGCTCGTGGGAGCATGCCCCCTCTTCTGTCCTGAGTGAGGCCCCCAGACCAGTAGGGGCTTGGGAGTCCCGGGCCCTAGAAGTGCCTTTCCCAGGGAGGTGGCTAGGGAGACTCCCAGCTCAGTGAGGCTGGGTGTTTGCAGCCATGAGGATCTCAAAATGAAATCCTCTCTCTGGCCAGCATCAGTGGCAGCCGTGGGCAGGGACACCCTGGGAGCTGGGGTGTGACCCAGCCCGAGAGGGGCTATAGCTCTTCTGTGCTGCTGTCGCCCTGGTGGGGCCCAGCGTGAGGTCTTGGAATTGGGCAGGCCCCAGCCCACGTCCTCCGAGGGGTGGGCTGACTTGTCACGGGGAGAGGGCCCCTAGATGTCTCTGCCCACTGGTACCTGCCGAACATGGGCCCCCCCAGCAGCTGAAGCAAGCCAAAGGTTGTCTGCAGGTAGCCAAAGGTGACAGCATCCAGGCCCAGCCTCCGGGACAGGTACTGAAATACAGGAGGGGCCCTTGGGGAGTCTGGGAATCTGGGGTCCTTGGGGACAGTGGGTGGAGGGGACCGAGGGTCTGCTCTGACTGTCTGGAGGGCACCTGGGAGGGGCCCTGAGCCCCGGGGCTCGCTGAGCTTTCCTGCCTGGAGCCTGCTGGGGCCTTTGGGTCCAGGCTCCGGGGCTGCAGTGCTCAGTGAAGGGAACCTCTGGGGTACCCCTCACAGGGTCCACCTCTCTGCATTCCCTCAAGGCTGCCTGGTGAAGACTCCAGCATCCTCCATGCCAGCAGGAGATGGTCCTAAAGCAGCCTGAAGGCCTCCAGAAGGCAGCCTGCTGCCCAGCAGGACACGGGCCTACTCTGAGCACCTCCCTGCCCCTTCTGGCCCCTCTTGTGGAATGCGTGTCTGGGAAGGCCAAGGCAAGTGGCCAGTGTCCCTCCAGAGAGCCCGGGGAGCCCTAGCTCTCTGTGATGTCAACACTCCCTAGCTGCTGTCCCCCAGCCTGGCCTCTGAGTTCCTGACCCCTCCCTCCACTGATCAACCTAAAGTTGGTTCAACTGTGTACCCCCAAAAAAGATACGTTGAAGTCCTGACCCTCAGGACTCAGAATGTGACCTTGTTTGGAAATAGGATCTTTACAGAGGTAATCAGGTCAACGTGAGGTCATAAGGTGGCCCCTAATCCAAGGTGACTGGTGTCCTTATATAAAGGGGAGTTCCGGACCCAGACATGCACAGAGGACTGGCCCTGGGAAGAGACGGAGGCTGGAATATGCGGCCACAAGCCAGGGAATGTCTGGAGCCACAGGAAGCTGGAAATGGCAGGGAGAATCTGCCCCTTCAGTGCCGGGGGCCTGCCACACCCCCATTGGGACTTCTGTCCTCTGCTCTGGGGAGAAGGAACTGAGGTCCTCTTGGCCCCCAGCTGCTGTGCTTTGTCCTGGCAGTCCCAGGACACGAGCAGCCCGGTCCTGACCCCACAGCCTTCACCCCCACTAGCTGTCCCCCTCTCCTTTGTCCCTGGGCAGCAAGTCCCTCTGAAGGGCGGCTGCCCATCCCCCCCACCTCTCTCACCCCACCTCCAGGGGCATCGACTCCCTCTTCCCAGAGGTCACCCTGCCCCTCTCCCCCACTCGCAGGCATCGGCCTCAGCAGCAACCCCCTCCTCTGTCTCCTGGTTCTGTCCTCTCACCTGACCCCCACCTCCACTCACTCGGGGGGCCCAGCCTGCCTGCCCCAGCACCTCTTTTCAAACCACCCCTGGCTCTCCACTCAGTGTCTAAAAGCTTCTGGAACTTCACCTGTCTGAGGCTGGTTCCTGGGGGTCTCCCCAAAAGATGGGCTCCTCTGCCCCACTGCAGATGCCTCCACCCTCCAAGGGTTCAGTTCCAAACCATGACCCCCTCTTTCTCACACACCCACATCCAGGCTGTCAGCAATCCTGAGCTCAGCCTTCACCACAGCCGCCTCTCGTGCCCCCACGGCCGCCACCCTCCCGGAGTTGACATGGCCCCTCTTTGACCTCAGCTCCTTCTCCCATCCACTCCTCCTTGCCAGCCACATGAGTCTCATTGCTGCCCCGGGGCCTTTGCACACTCCTGTGGCTCCTTTAAGCCTTTGCTCAATGTCACCTTCTCAGGCAGGCCTTCCTGATCCAAGCCCACCAAGCGTCCCCTGGCATTTCCAGCGCCCCACCCCACCCCCACCGTTGCCTTTTCCATAGCACGTGTTATTCCATAATACACAGCACAGTCCATCTACATTTCATTTCCTGGTGTAGGTGTCACCTTTCTGCCTCTCGCACTGATGCACAACCCGCCGCCGGGGGCGAGGCAGTGGACTGTTAGCTCTACTGAGTCCTGCTACAGCCCGAGTTCTGAGGACAGGGTGCCTGACGCTGGTGCCCAGTGGGCACTGGTTGGTCAGACACACGCCCTGCCGGGAGAGCCCCCTTGCTCTGTGCCCAGCGATTCAAAGGCTTTGGCTGTTCCCTCGTTGCCCCCTGCACCAGCCCTCCCAGGAAGGGATGTGAAGACCTGCTTTACCTTGAGGATGCCAGGCTGCCTCCTGGGTGCTAAGGAGGGGAGTGAGGGGAGTCAGGGCTGGGACAGGCCATTCACTGGACATGACTGGGGCTTGGAGGCAGGGGCAGGGCTGGCCTCACCTTTCGGCCAGGAGCTCCGGCCACGCCCAGAGTGGTGGTAACACCCCCTTCCACCCACATCTGCAGGCTGCTCATGAGAATCTCCTAGGGACCCTGAACAAATGGTTTGTGGCTAGCGCCGCAGCCCTCACCCAGATGAGATAGAAAAGGACCTCTGGAGTCTGGTCTCCCACAGTACCCCGGGTGCTGCCTAGCCCCAGAAGGGGAGACCATGTGGGTCAGCTCCCTAGGGGTTTTGTGGAATGAATGAGCAAAGGTGCAAAGCGGGGGTCAGTGGCCGCTGGGTGGGGGGTGGGCGCTGTGTGGCCCACAAGGACTACTGAAGTGGCACCCCACTATCACCAGGCAGAGGTCAAGACCGGAGAGAGATGAAGTCCCACTCTCCCGTCCTGGCCGTGGAGACAGAAATGCTGTGCAACAGGATGTGGGGTATAGGTAGGCTGCCCAGACACGGATGGCGGGGCTCTAGGTGCCAGGCGGGTGTGTGGGGTGGGCGCCCAGGTGGGGGCCCACCTGAAGACCTGAACGAAGGCCTGAGCACAGCAGGTACTGGGGCAGCAACCAGAGGGCAAAGGTCCCCAGGCAGGGAGGGAGGGGCACTGCCAGGAGGAGGGAGCTGCCCGAGGCCCCTCCCAGCACAGCCAGAGCCCTGGGAGAGCTGCTGGGGGGGACAGGGGCCAAGAGGCACAGGCCCTTCAGTTGTCCAGCTGCAGTGCTGTGAGGGGCTCCCCTGGGACCCCTGCCAGCGCGCAGGGGAGGGTGGGAAGGCGAGCGGGGGCCTGCGCGGCCCCACTGCCTGGGGCGGGCACTCACTCACCGGCAGGATGGAGAAGCGCATGAAGAGGCACGTGAACTCCAGGGCGACCAGTGCGTAGGTGAGTGGGATGACCCAGGGCCGGCCCCGCGTGCCTGTCCCACCGGAGGACTGGCCCTGGCCCTGGCGGGCCTCGGCTCCCTGCATCCTGGGCCTGTGCTGCAGGAAGCTCTGCAGGGGTCTGAGCAGGAAGCTGGCAGAGCCGCGGGGGCAAAAGTCCTGTTGTACTTGGTGAGGGTGCTGAGTCACGGGGCAGGAGGCCAGTGGCACCTGGCCTGCCTCACCTCGAGGAGAGGGCCTGTGGGAGAGGTCAGCACTGCAGGACCCCTATCTGGGCTTCGGGTCCCTTGTTATGGGACCCTGGGACTGTCTTGCCCTTGGAGAGCATGGCAGGCGGCCTTCCCCTCCTCCCCCTGCAACTTCAGGTCTCTGGGCCTGTGGCCCCCTAGGAACTGGAGCCAGGATCCTCCTCCCCAAGCGTGGGTCAGGCTCAGGGCCCCACATACCTCACCCAGGAAGGCACCAGGGCCCCGTTTTCAGAGGGACACAGGCTCAGTTTGGTCCCTGGCTGCAGCTAAGGCAGGAGCCCCTGTGGGGGGCTGGTGGCTCCCAGTTGCTGGAGGGGGTGCTCCTCAGGCCCACAGCGGATCCCCACAGTTACGGAGCAGCTTTCTGGGGAAGGCCTGCACCCACCTGGCCCTGCCCCCATCCTCCAGCCAGAGCCCTCAGGGGCTTCTGGAGTGCCCTGGGGTTGGGGCAGGGGCACACAGATCAGCCCCTCAGTCTCCCCAGGCAGGGCGGGTCTGCCCCACCTCCTGAAGCAGGGCATGTCTAACCCCCAAACCTCAACCTGGAGGAACCAGGTCTTGTGGTTCCAGGGAGACCTCCACAGAGTTTTGCTAAATCAAAAACCAACTATGCAGTTGGCCTCCAAGGGCAGAACCTGGGGCCCTGGGGTGGGGGTGGGGGTGGCAGCAGTGGGGGCCCAGGGCTGCATCTGACTGCCCTCCCCATCCCAGGGTGCAGGGAGGTTGGAGGAGCAGGTCAAGGCTGAGCAGGGGCTCCACACCTAGCAGCTGCAGTTCAGGGGTCATCCTGGCCAGAGCGAGCTCAGGTACCTGCCTTCAAGGGATCCGTCGGGGTGCCTGTTCCTGGTAGGATGGGCCCTCCTGGGGGCACCTGGGACACCCACCCTTCCTGTATGAGTCCAGTCCCATCCCCCAACTGACCCTGGGCACCCCAACCCCAGAGGCTGGGCCCTCTCTCCACCCAGGAAGGCATGCACTGCCTCCAAGCTCTCACTGGCTGAGCCTGACATGCCCCTTGTGGGCCTATCCCCCTCCGTGGGACCCCTGCTTCCCACCCCCACCCCAGTCCTCCCACCTTCTGCTTTTCTTTCAGGTACAAGGGGTGGGGGTGGAGGGCAGGTTGGTGTGGCAGGAACTCTGACCTCCCGAGAGCTGCACTGGGTGTCCAGGCTGGGCATGGGTGGGCAGGGGTCAGGGAGAGGAGGGAGGGATGAGAGGGGAGGGTCACTGTCTGGCCTGCCCCCGGCCTAGGGTCTGCTCAGAGACCCACAAGAGGGGCAGGGAGACAGGAGCATTCTGGGCACAGACCAGGTGCCAGTGTTCCGCATTTCACACCGCCACGACCCTGGACCCGTGGTGTGCAGATACACAGGGCTCTGAGCTGTCCCTCTGCCTGGCTGGCCACGCTCCCCGCGCGGCCCCTGCTGGAACCCTTGGGAGCAGGGACTCCCTCTCGAGGCCAGGGACAGGTCCCCAGCTGAAGAAGCAGGCACTCTTTCAGGACTCTGCAACCCACCAGAGCCAGGCCCAGATGGCAAGACCGAAGCCCTCTGTGCCATGTGTTAACTACAGCCCAGCAGAGCAGGACCTGGAGCAGGGAGGAACCCGAGCCGGTAGGGCAGACGGCACAGGGGTCCTGCGCTGCCCAGGCAGGGCCCACGTTGGCTGTGCCGCAGTCTGACACATCAGGGAAGACCCAGGGAGCCGGAGGCCCGCTGTCAGGGCCTCTCAGGACAGGGGCAAGTGGGCCCTAAGTCAGCAGGGGGAGCAACTCATGCCCCACCCCAATGTTTGAGGAAAATTTCAGTCCAAACACTGCAAGTGGGGGACATATTTATCTAAGGATGGTGTCCCCATTCTCTGACAACGTCAGGGGTCCTGCTGAGAGTCCACAGCCGGGGCAGGTGGACCAGCCAGGGTTTCTTGGGAGGACTGCACAGAAGGGCTGCCCTGGGGAAGCGGATGGCAGTTGTCCAGATGTCTCAGATTCAGGACTCCCAGGGGCAGGATGGCAGGCCAGATGACCCTGCCGCCCCAGGAGGGGAACAGAACCCCAGGGCCTTTCCGGCTCCTGCCTGACGGCCTCCTACAGACCTGGTCAGGGGCTGGGGATGTCACCGGGATCCTCCGGTCCCAGGCAGGGCTTGGGGGCGAAGAGGCAGGAGGCGGTGGCATGACAGCCTCTAGCCTGGCCCAGGGCAGGCTGGGGGGGAGGGGCCCCCTGGAGTGCCGAGGTGGGCAGACGGGGCTGGCCACTCACCTCTCCCTTTGGGGGCCTTGGAACTGGTTGGAGCAGAAGCAACTGGATCTGGTCTAAGTATTTGCCCTGAACAGGTTCCGTGTGGGCGGGGAGCTTCCTGGTCCCGAGGGAGCATGGGAAACTGCTTTTCAGGCTGGATAAGGGAAGAGGACACCCAGAAGCCCAGAACCCCTGGGTATGATTTTCCTCGTCCAGAGTAAGCAGCTCGGACTGTGGGCCGGCGTGACGGACGCACTCAGCCTCTCGGCAAACGTTCTGTGCTTCCCGGGACCCACTCCCACCACCAGGCTTACAGAGAAAGTGCTGGCCATTCTGAGGGTGAGGCTGACTTAGGTGGACCAGGGAATCTAGGGTGGGGTTGGAGAGGAGGGCTTCTTGGAGGAGGCAAGCCTCTGCAGAATCTTAAGGAGAGCGAAGACTGGTCAGGTGTGGGATGGGCATGCTGGGTAGAGGGACCGGTACTGACAAAAGGCTTACAGGCGAGCCCAGCGTGGGGTGTTTAGAAAGCTGAGAGCCTTGATGGACAGGGGAAAGGGTGCACAGAGGTGGAGGGTGGGTGGCGAGGCCCAGATCTTGGAGGATGGCCCTGGGGAGCCCCCGAGGGCTGGAGGTGGGAGGAACAGGGTGAGCTGAGCCTTGAGGAGGTCACTCTGGCTCAAGTGTGCCAGAGGTGGGGGTGGGGAGCGAGACTCCTGGGAGTGCCCAGAGCTGGCAGCGTCCAAGGGGCTGGAGGGCCCCCCCCCGACAGCCTGGGTGTCTGAACTGGTGATGCGCCACGAAGTAGAATGCCTCCCAGAAACCGACAATTTACGGAGCACCCACTGTGTGCCAGGCTCTGCGCCAGGTGTTTAGATTCAGCCTGCAAATATGGCTGCCCTCGTGTAGCTTGCGTCAGAGTGAGCCTGTGCACGTAACGTGGGTGTGCATGCACATACATACAGGAGAGTGCACGTGCAAGGCAGCATAGGAAATCACACACTGTGGGCATGTGGGCTTTGCTCTGTGCGCGGTGCAGCCACGGCAGGGTTCTAAGCTTGTGCTGGGTTCTAGAAGGCGCCTCTGGATGGCATGCTGACTGGGGACCGAGGGAGGCTCTAGAACGGAGGGGCTTCTGCAGGCCCATTTAGGGAGATGTGGACTTGGATGGGAGGGGGCAGCAGGAGTAGGGGGCTCGGGCTGGGAGGGTGTCTGAGGTGTAGAGGTGGTGGGGGCAGTTCTCCAGGGAGAACCTGCTGGAGCTTAAAGCTCAAGCGGGTGGAGGCAGCTCGCAGGTGTAGGACAGTGAGGTTGGGGGCGGTGGTCTGAGCTGGAGGTTTGAGTGAGGGTGTCATCTGCATCAAGGTGGTATTCAGGGCCCCGACCCTGGTGAGATGAACCCCTTCATGGGTCGATGAGGTCCTTTGGAATGACACATTGGTGTAACTATTTCCTGAGGGCACATCTTTAGGGACACGAATGAGGTCTTGGCTGGTGTGGGACTAGAATCTGAGGCAGGGCTGGGCATGGGTCCACTGACTGCCCCTCACCCTCTCAGTCCAGGCCTCAGCCAGCAGCAGGGTCCACAGGCTAATGAGGGGCGCCTCAGCCCACTGCGGGCCCTGGGGGCCTGGCCTGTTGGTGAGCTCCACCTCATAGGTGCTTGAGTTTAGCTGTAGGAGGACAAAGTCCCTCTGCAGCGCCGCAGGAGGGGCTGCGCTGGAGGTCCAAGGAGTCTTCCAGAACTGGAGTCTGCGAATAGGCTGCTGGGCTTGGGGTCTGGGTCAGGGTTCTTGGAGGAGGGGTGGGGGCTGGATCTTGGCCATGGCTGGCTCTCTTGGACTGTGAGTAGGTTCACGTGACTGAGACCTTCCAGCCACGGCCAGAGGAGGCTCTGCCAGCCATGGGGGCTTCTCCACCTGCGTCTAGTGGTCCAGGGCCCCCAGAGTTGGGTGGAGGGAGGGCAGCAGGTGCTGAGGGGGCCGAGGCCTAGGGGAGCACCCACCTCGCATCCCAGAGCTCTGCCCTGGCCGTGCGGGTTGCAGGGTCTCACATGGGGGTGCGGGTCATTCACGGCGCTGGCTCAGGCCTGCCACTGGCCTGACCGCAAGTGATGAAGGCCTTGCCAGGGAAGCGCAGTGAAGGCTGCCGGAGGTGGCGTCCGTGGTGGTGGCCTTCTGGCTGCAGACCTTGGGGGCCCTCTGGGCAGCTGGGATACGGTCAGTGGTGGCTGGGTTCCCTTTCTCCCACCACAGGCCAGGCAACAGGAGGGGAGGAAGGTTGGGTACTGCTTTTGGGGAACTCGGGCTTTGCATGGGGACCCTTACATGGCGCCAGCTGCCCCAGCTTGCCCGTGGCTGAGGGGTTTCTGGGACACGGGATTTTCATGTGAGACTGAGGAAGTGCTGGTCCCCCTGCCCTCACAGGTCCCCATGCTGGACCTTGGCCTAGAGGAAGAAAGGGAAGCCGCTGGGGGTGGGCAGCAACATTGGTGGGGGCCACAAGGTCATGAGGCCCGACTCCAGGCCCCTCAAGGGACACCTTGCCCCGACTTCCATACTCAGGAAGCGACAACAGCTTCAAAGGAGGGGTGTCCATCCAGGGCGGCTGGAGGGGGACGCGGTCAGCAGCTGGTGCTCTGGTCTGACAAGGGCCTCGGAGGAGCGTGAGAAGGTGGGAGGGCAGCCTGGAGTCAGGCAGAGATGGGCCTTTGAACTTCGCAGGGGAGCAGGGCTCGGAGGGAGCAACCCACACCTGCTCCCTGGGGTGGGGGAGGCGGAGGCAGCCTCTGGTGGGGGGCAGGGACGCACTCCTCCCCACGTGCCCCTGGTGCCGCTCATGTCTGAGGACCTGGAGGTTTGCAGACGCCCATCTCCTAGGTCCCAACCCCTCTGCCATTCCCACCTCCTGCCCTGGTCCCTCGTCTGCAGCTGGAAGACCACCCCGTGGTCCGACTGCCCCTCCCACATCCAGTGTCTTCTACAGCCTCTGTCCGTTGGGAACGCGGTGGAGAACCCAGCAGAAGTGGGAAGGACTTCAGGGAGCCAGGAGAGGAGTCCCAGCCCAGGCTGCTCTGGGTTCTTACCCTAGGGAACCCCTCGGCTGTCAGCTGGCCCCCTGGCTATTTGGTTTCTGTTAGGAACAACCATACTGATGATTCAGGAAGTGAGCAGAGGCAGCCTCTGCTCAGGCACCCTGGGACCCAGCTGGGTGAGTTTCTAGGGCCCCTGGTCTCCTGCTCAGCTCTGGGGGCAGCTGGGTCTCACACACATCTTTCCAAGTGAAGAAGCGTGCAAGGTGGCCAGGCCTCACCCCTTCCACAACGGGACGGGGTACAGGCCCTCCCCACACCTGTCTCACCTGGGGGCTGGCCCCTCTGCATGCCTGCAGCCCCCGTTTATTCACCTATTTCTGCCTCCACCCACCAGGCCAGGAGCCCCTGGACAGGACAGAGATCCCAGGGAAATGTCTGTTGGATGGACAGGTGGACGTGCACGAGGACACACGTCAGATGCTCCTAGTCCAGGCCCTGACTGGACATTCGAGGGGGAGCTGTGCATGATCACACTGCCAGCACTGGCTGCACTGGCTGCCATGGCAAGGCTCAGATTCGCTTGATTTACTGTTCTCTGCGAATCAGAATCCAGAGCATCTGGGGAAGGCGCTCAGCAGGACTCAACTGTGAAACCCCAGCAGCCTGTGCTCGGGTCTGTGCTCACAGCGGAGCACAGGGGTTCTGTGTGGGGCTCTGCAGTCAGCCCCATGGGGCTGGCACTCTTTCTAGGCCTTGGCCAGGGACTATCCTCTCAAGCCCATTCCCCCATCTGTGAAAAAGGGCCAACACCCATCTCTGCCTCCTAGGAGGATTAAATTAGATAATTCACACATAAAGTGCACGGCACAGGACCACGTGGCACAGAGAGGGTGTGCCACGTGCCACCAACAGCAACTGGGTTCTGACCAGCATTCAGCTGTGGCTGGACAGGGAACCTGCTGAGCACCAGGCATGTGCAGCTGGGTGGAGTGTGCTGTGTGTCAGATGAAGACAGACCCACGGGAGTCATGGTGACCTGCAGCCCCCACCGGGCCCCGAATGCTGGTGGGGTGGGGAGCACTGTCCCAATGCTTATTATAAACACTGCTTCCCCCTGCCTGACAATTCACTACGGAAGTAAATGTGACTCAGATGTATAAGTGCCTTTGCTGGGGTCTCGGCCTTCCCACCCGCTCACGTCCCTGGGCTCAGGGTGAATGTCCAGTTTCCATCACAACAGCAGTGGGAGGGGGCTGCCCGGGGCTGGGGCTGTGCCTGCCCTCCTCTCTAGGGCTGGAGGAGAGACCGAAGGCAGTCGGGGACAGGGGAGCTCCTCAGAGAGAGGACCACTTCCTACATGTGGACATTGACCCCAAGCCTCATCAGGGGCCTTGCAGATGAGAAAGCAGAGGCACAGAGAGGCTAGGCAACTTGCCAAAGGTCACAAAGCCAGTAAGAGGCAGCTGCTCTGCCTCCAAAGTTCACAGGTTTGCTCTCTGGCCAGGCAGTGCCCCCTACCTTGCCCCTACCCCCTGCCTCTTGCCACATGAATGCTGCTGGCATAGAGTGGCCAGAAGTAGAAAACCCAGGTGGCTGCCACCAGGAATCTGAGCCCACTGGCACCCTGGGGGCAGCCATGGGCTGTGGCCAGACCCCTGTTCCCCCACCTGCTGGCTCCCCACCTTCCCATCTGTGCTTAGCACCAGAGTGGCACCTCCTGGCACCATTCTCCCTAACCCCCCACCCCTCCTTTGTCCCACCTCCACATCCCAGGGTCCCGGTGCCCTCTGACCTTGTCACTCCCAGCCCTCAGCCCTGGCCTGGAGCTCCTTCATTTTCTGCCACCCTGACTTGGGCAGCGCCTGTACCTCCCTCCCAACCTCTGGTGGTGGCATTTGTATCCACCAGTCAACCACAGAACCCCGGACCCAAGCTATGGGCCTCTGGGGCTCCTTGGTGCCTCCAAGATGTAGCCAGTTTCTGGACTGGAGTCCCAGGCCTGAAAGCCTGGCCTCTGAGGCCGTCTGTGGCCCCCAGCTCATTTTCTGCTGCTCTCTGGGTACCTGCCCTGATGGGCTCA